GCTTTTTTTTTTTTTTTTTTTTTTTTTTTTGAGATAGTCTGGCTCTGTCATCAGATTGGAGTGCAATAACTTAGTCTTGGCTCAATGCAACCTCTGCCTCCTGGGTTCAAGTGATTCTTCTGCCTCAGCCTCCCGAGTAGCTGGGATTACAGGCACTCACCACCACGGCCGGCTAATTTTTGTATTTTAGTAGAAACAGGGTTTCACCATGTTGACCAGACTGGACTCGATCCCCTGATCTAGTGATTCTCCTGCCTCAGCCTCCCTTTCTCTGTTTTATAAACACTTTAAGTTCTGCATTGATGGTAAATTGAATAGTGGGGGTAAAAATGGAAAGCTATATAACTACTTGTTCGTGATACATAGATAATTTGAATGTAAAATGAGCTCTGGAATTCCATTCTGATTACCAGGAAATCTCTGGTATAAGCAAGGACTTTTTATAATGTTATCGAGTACGTTGGGAATTGAAATATTTATATAGGTTGTATAGATTTTAGAACTTAGAGTGCCTTAGAGAAGAGTTAATTCCCTATTTAAGATATTTGGTACTGTAGATAGAATATTTAATATCTGATTTCTCCTGTTAGGTTCTGCCTTTGCGTTCCCGATTTAATTCAGTTAACTGAGAGAAATGTAATTTTGTTTTGCTTTTTTAAAATTTTACTTATTTTTTTACTATACTTTAAGTTCTGAGGTACACGTGCAGAGTGCACAGGTTTGTTGCATAGGTATACACGTGCCATCGTGATTTGCTGCACCCATCAACCTGTCATCTACATTAGGTATTTCTCCTAATGCCATCCCTCCTGTAGCCCTGCTAGGCCCTGGTGTGTGGTGTGCCCCTCCCTGTGTCCATGTGTTCTCACTGTCCAACTCCCACTTATGAGTGAGAGTATGTGGTGTTTGGTTTTCTGTTCTTGTGTCAGTTTGCTAAGAATGATGGTTTCCAGCTTCACGCATGTCCCTGCAAAGGACATGAATTCATCCTTTTTTATGGCTGCATAGTATTTCATGGTGTATATGTGCCACAGAGAAATGTTATTTTGATTTTTTTCTTTATTTCACTCTTTCAATAAATATGTATTGACTGTCAGGTGCAAGAGTCTTCATGATAAAGCAAGTGTCTTAAGTTCCTGATTTAATTCAGTTACCTGGGAAATGTAATTTTGTTTTGCTTTTTTAAATTTAAAAATTAAAATATCGGGATTGCTGATATTTTGGGCTGAATCATTCTTGCTTATAGTTAGCAGCATCCCTGGTGCCAGTAACGTCACCCCACTGTGACAACCAAAAATATCTCCAGACAGTGTCATATGTTCCCTGGGAAGTAAAATCATCACCCCAGTCCAGAAGCATTGATGATAATGGGAAAGATCAGATGAGAGTTAGAGGTGAGGGTGGGAAGGAGGCAAGGGAAGTGGCACTTGGGGTGGGAGATATGAATTCATTTGAGATACATTATGAAAAAGAATAGAGAAGTCTTAATGGCTGGTAAATTATAGGGACTGGGGAAGAGGGAGGAGTAAGCAACAACTCTGGTTTGAGAAATTGGAGGGATTGTGGTGCTCTTACTCAAATTAAAAATAAGGGAGGAACATATGAAAGAGGAGATGAGTTCAGTTGCAGAGACGCTGGATTTGACTGAGGGCATGGTGTTCCCTAGGAAGTAGGCTCAGGAGCGGAGTGTGTAGGAGTGAAGTCAGGAGTGAGAGGTGGATTTTGGAAGGCAAAATATTAGTAATTGACACTAGGGCAGAAAAGTGCCATTCACCTGCTAGAGAAAGGGATGAGCCAGATAACTAAGATGCAAACTATTTGTTCTGTTAGAGATTCTAAAGCATTTCACCAAGGTTAAGCAGAAGTAAAAACTAACAAAACAAAGCAAAACACCAAGTATCAAAAACATTTCAGTATATCTTAGAGTCAATTAAGAGAGTGAAGGAGTAGCAAGAGAGCTGAAAGAAGAGATAAAAGGAAATGAAATTGAATTCAGGCAGATAACTGGAGAAGAGGAAGATTGTTAATTCATTTAGTGTTTATTGATTGCATTCAAATATTACATAATTTTAATTTCAAAAAACCTGGGAAATGCACATATTCTTATAACCCACTTTCTTCTCCAGCATTTGAGCATGAAAAGTTTCAAACAGGCCAGGTGTAGTGGCTCATGCTTATAATCCTAGCACTTTGGGAGGCCAAGGCAGGAGGATCTCCTGAGCCCAGGAGTTTTAACACAGCCTGGGCAACACAGGGAGACTTCATCTCCACAAAAAAATTGAAAAATTATGGATACTACAGCATTCTGTGACAGAATGAGACCGTCTCAAAAAAAAAAAAAAAAAAAAAAGAGAAAAGTTTCAAACATACAGTAAAGTTAAAGGAAGTTCCCAGTGAACACCCATATATCTACCACATAAATTATATAATTAACATTTTATTATATTTGCTTTTTCACATTGTCTGTCCATGCATCCGTTAAAGTGTCTTATTTTGTGATGCATTTTAGAGTAAGTTGCTGAACACTTAAGCCAACTACATCAGCATACATATTCTCAGCTATAGTTCAATATTTGTATAGAGTTCTCTAACCGACTTTTACTAATTTAATTGTTAAAGTCCATATCCAATTTCCTTTGCAGGAAAATGGGTAGTACTTCATTTTATTTTACATACGATTTTTGGTGACCATTTTGGGATGCTAACACTAAAGATTTTATTGACAATTACACTAGGATTACTCTAGATACATAAATATAGAGGCTGGTCACTTTTGCTGTTTCTCTTCTGTATCCTGGTACCTAGGATGTGGACAGGCATAAAGTAAAATTTCTAATTATCTACTAAATCTAGTTTTGCAAACACAGACATGATATTCTTACCTGATCAAATGGAATTAAGGTTAGGCCATGTTTCAGGCATTTTTGGGAATACTAAATAGCTCTTAAATAACAAGAACGCTTTGGCAAAGCTTTGTAGTTTGCCTTTATGATATCCTTACCAGTCCCCCAAGAGGAAACTATGTCGTGTTGTTTGTTATACAGAATTTGTGGTCTAAATTTGCAGGCTCCAGTATTGCCTTTGCTGCTATGTGACCTTGGACAAATCTCTTAGTCTCTCTGAGCCTGAGTTCATACATTAAGACTCCTTGGGTTAACAATACATATGTGTATTTGATACCCACACTTGTGAGTTTCAAATGAGCCTCTGCGTGCAATAGAGATTTGTCAACTGTGACTTTCTACACAACTGTCACCTACTGTTTCACATTCAGAGAATGTTAAAAAAAAAAAAAAAAAAAAAAATCAATTCCTTCCCTCCCTCCATCTTTCCCTTCTTTTGTCTTCTGAATTTCTAGAATAGAGCCCAGAAGAAAATAATAAGGAAACCAATAGTTCAGAATCAAAGACGTTCTGTTAAAGAAAGAGCAAGAATCAAGATTCAAAGTACCTCAGCACTCAAAGAAGCAGAAAATTCTAATAGCTGCAGGCAAATTGTGCCCTCCGAGGAGCCTAGATTCTAGAAAAAAAGGGAGAGCAGTCTTGTGAAAGAGGTGAAACAAAGGCTTTTCATGTACTCCGGAATTGCTTGGATACTGGGATGTAACCCTGGCAAAGTTATTAAAGTTGATTTCTCTAAACCATTTACTCGAAAGGGCCACCTAAGGATAACTGGCTATCTGCCCTTAAATTACATTTATTTTTAAAAACATAGTTTGAAAAAGGATAGTAATCAAAGGCTTACGAGACCAACCATTTTTTGTTTAATTTAGAAGACTGGTTTATAATATGCAAAGAAAGACCGCACATTTGCTTGCTACATTTGAGTTGCACACTGTAACATATAGCCTTTCCCCCTCCTCTGGGTTACTTTAAAAATATTAATAAGTTGGATAGCTATTCCGTGTTTTCAAAGTGGTTATCAATGAACTTCTAACTTAAATAATTCTAGTACTTTTTAAGGCCACTTTAATCTCAGTTTACTGCTTAAAGCTTCTTTAGATACCCATTTAAACAATTCTTAAAAAAAAAAACAGGTAACTAAATTTAATAAATAATGAAAATAATGACAAAATGTTCAATGAGGAAAAATGTTCATCCTGATTTTGTGGCCAGAATGATAACAAACTTCTAGAGGATGAAGTCTGCCTGGGAGGGTTTGCTTGCGAAAGTGGTAGTTTATAGCATAACATCTGATTTTGTGTGTTTGTGCCAAGGGTGTTTCCTTTCCGTCTTTTTCCTTTTCATAGGCTGCCACAATAGTGACACGTTTAATATTGATGAGTTTGACCTCCTGGGAGTTATCGTATATGCACCCTTTTTGAATACAAATGCTGTTTAATTTATATGGTAAACACATGGAATTTGGAGATTAGCATTTTAATCAACTCTAATCTCAGTATCTAATCTCAGTATTTTCTGCTTCCCCTACCTCTCCTTCTGTAAAAAACAAAAAAAAATATTAAACCAACTTTAGAAATGACAGCGAATGTCCTCTCCTGGACAAGGGTCTGCGTGTCAAACATAAAAGCAGCGCCATGTGTAGTAACATTTCTGAAACCATGTGTTCCAGCCCATTAACAGTGTTCAATGAGATGATCAATAATTCAAGAAACAGAACAATCCATTCATTCAGCAAATATTTATTGAACGACTAGGCAGGCAGGGTGTTGTGCATGTGGCGGTGACACGATGGCACCTCTGAACTGGAATTGGGCTTCGGTTCTTCCCCAAGTAAAAATTTCTTCTTTTTTGTTTAACTTTTCTCTTGGCAGGTCCAGCAGGGCTGAAGATCGGCGCGCATCTTCCCGCAGACAAGCTCTTCGGCCGGGGACCATGCATTCGATTCGCACGGTGGAGATTAAGGTCCCCGAGATAGAGGAAACGTTTTTCGCGCCCAGGTTCCGCGAGGAGCCGCGCGGGGGCCGAGGGGGCGGCGGCGGCGGGCGGGGAACCAGGCCCGAGCTGCGTCCTGCGCAGCCATTGGCGGGCGCCGCGCTCCGCACTGAGCATGTTCGCGCCCCGCCGGCCCCGAGCCGCAGCCGCAGCCGCAGCCACGGCAGCCACGCGAGCCGCCGCGCATTATGCAAAGCGGCGGCAGATGCGAGCGGGGCCAGCCGGGCGCGCGTCGGCCTCCCCTCCCAGCGGCTCGCCCCGCCGCCGCCTGACTCTCTCGGGAGACTCCCCCGGCCCGGGCCCGGGGCGGAGGAGGGCCGAGATGGCCTGAGTGCCCGCGGCGCGGCGGCGCAGCGGCGGGATCGCACCATGGGGAACCAGGATGGGAAGCTGAAGAGGAGCGCAGGTGATGCCGCGCACGAAGGCGGCGGCGGCGGCACCGAGGATGCGCTGGGGCCCAGGGACCTGGAAGCCACAAAGAAGGGGAGCGGGGGCAAGAAGGCGCTGGGCAAGCACGGCAAGGGGGGAGGGGGCGGCGGCGGGGAGTCGGGCAAGAAGAAGAGCAAGTCGGACTCCAGAGCCTCGGTGTTTTCCAACCTGCGGATCCGGAAGAATCTGTCCAAGGGGAAAGGCGCCGGCGGCTCCCGCGAGGATGTGCTGGATTCCCAGGCCCTGCAGACCGGGGAGCTGGACAGCGCTCACTCCCTGCTCACCAAGACCCCGGACCTCAGCCTCTCGGCGGACGAGACCGGCCTGTCGGACACCGAGTGCGCGGACCCTTTTGAGGTGACCCGGCCGGGGGTGCCGGGGCCTGCCGAGGCGAGGGTCGGGGGCCGGCCTATCGCCGAGGATGTGGAGACCGCCGCGGGGGCGCAGGATGGACAAAGGACCAGCTCGGGCTCGGACACGGACATCTACAGCTTCCACTCGGCCACGGAGCAGGAGGACTTGCTCTCCGACATCCAGCAGGCGATCCGCCTGCAGCAGCAGCAGCAGCTCCAGCTCCAGCTCCAGGGCGCCGAGGAGCCCGCAGCGCCCCCCAGCGCCGTCTCCCCTCAGCCCGGGGCCTTCCTGGGCCTGGACCGGTTCCTGCTGGGGCCGAGCGGCGGGGCTAGGGAGGCCCCGGGCAGTCCGGACACCGAGCAGGCGCTGTCCGCGCGCTCCGACCTGCCGCCGAGCCCCCGGCGCCCCAGCGGCCGCCGTCCCCCGGCAGCCTCCCGGCCTCCCAGGCGCCCAGCCCCGCGGCGGCCCGACCCGCGCCCAGAGACTCGCCGTCCTCCACGGCCTTCCCGTTTCCCGAGGCCGGGCCGGGGGAGGAAGCGGCCGGAGCCCCGGCGCGGGGGGCTGGGGACACGGACGAGGAGGGCGAGGAGGATGCTTTTGAGGATGCGCCCCGGGGCTCTCCGGGAGAGGAGTGGGCCCCGGAGGTGGGCGAGGACGCCCCTCAGAGGCTGCGGGAAGAGCCGGAGGAGGGGGCGCAAGGACCCGGCGTCCCCGCGGCCGCTTCCCTACCCGGCAGCCCCGCGCCCAGCCCGCGCTGCTTCAAGCCCTACCCGCTCATCACCCCCTGCTACATCAAGACCACCACCCGGCAGCTCAGCTCGCCCAATCACTCCCCGTCTCAGTCCCCTAATCAGAGCCCCAGGATCAAGAGGCGGCCGGAGGCCTCCCGGAGCCAAGGGTCCAGAACCGCCCTGGCCTCCGCGGCCGCCCCGGCCAAGAAGCACCGGGCGGACGGCGGCCTCGCCGGCGGCCTGAGCCGCTCCGCCGACTGGACGGAGGAGCTGGGCGCCCGCACGCCCGGGGCGGGAGGCTCCGCGCACCTGCTGGAGCGCGGGGTGGCCGCTGACCGCGGCGGTGGGGTGTCCCCGGCACTGGCCGCCAAGGCGTCTGGGGCGCCCGCGGCTGCGGATGGCTTCCAGAACGTGTTCACAGGTGAGCGCGCCCTGCGGCCGGCCTCCGGGTCGCCAGTCGCCTGCCAATCAGGGCCTTCCCCTGCCTCCCGCCGCCCCTGGGCGCTGGAAGGCGGCGACCCGCTGGTGGCACGTCTCTTCTCCGTGAGGAATCCTTTTCTGCCCAGCGAGCTCACCGCCCTCGGTGAAATGCCTTGGACACACTGGCCGGTTTTCTGTGTTCTCACAAGATCTTAAAGGGAACGACTTAGTTGCGTCTGTGCTAAGTCATCCCAAGAAAAGGTTGCTCTGCCCATTTCACCAAAATGTCTACTGTTCGCAATGTTTAGGGTCACGCCAGGGAGATAAACTCCTTTTTCACCTGGTTAGCGAAACCATCATTCTTCTCTTTTCATTTCCTGTCAGCACAGCCTTAAAAAGAAAAAAAAAAATGTTCACGGTTCTTTCACACGAGTCAGTTTTGGAGGCACAAATCATTTATTCCAGTACAATCCAAAGGCAACCTCTGACTGCTCTAATACCGGTGTATATGTACACGTTTGGTATGTATGTGATACATAGTTTCTATCTTGCAGCAATGAGGGTTTCGCTACTTAGTGACGTTAAGCAGTCACTCCAGTTTGCTGATGTAAGAAAATCTGACACATGGAATTAGAAAATTAATAAATAAATATAATGGTAGGGATAATTTTCATTTAGTTTCATGGTCCAGCCCAGAAGAGCCTATAGTTTGGAGATAATGAAGGTGAGAAGGTCAAAAGTACGTCTGGTCCAACTGGTACCACCCCTCCCGAAAAAACATTACAGACTCCCACTCAGGCAGCATAAAGCACAGCCAGAGTCTGTTTGCTGCGGGCAATGTCGAGTAGTCTAATGAGTTTATCCTAGCTTACAGGCTTATAGGGCCCAAGGCCTTACCTTAAGAACCCAACATGTTTACTTAACCTCTATTCTTAATTATTAAATTAACAAGAGTGTTAGAATTTAGTGAATGGAAAAAAATATGAAAAGTTAAGTGACTACTGATAGGTTTATGATAACTATTTGAAGGATTAAACATTGCAAATGCAATCTGAAAAATTTAAAATCATGTTATTTTAGTAAATACATTATAAAACATTGCTTAGATGAAATTTCTCGGCAAAGACAGCGACTTCTTGGTTGGCTAAATGCTGTTAATGTTGGGGTAGCTACTTTTATTGACCCCCATTTTAATTTTCATCTGTGGACTACCTTTTATTTTGCCTTTATAGGGTCTTACCCTTAAAATAACTTCTTTTTTTTTTTTTTTTTTTTGAGACGGAGTTTCGCTCTTGTTACCCAGGCTGGAGTGCAATGGCACGATCTCGGCTCACCGCAACCTCCGCCTCCTGGGTTCAGGCAATTCTCCTGCCTCAGCCTCCTGAGTAGCTGGGATTATAGGCACGCGCCACCATGCCCAGCTAATTTTTTGTATTTTTAGTAGAGATGGGGTTTCACCATGTTGACCAGGATGGTCTCGATCTCCTGACCTTGTGATCCACCCGCCTCGGCCTCCCAAAGTGTTGGGATTACAGGCTTGAGCCACCGCGCCCGGCCCAAAATAACTTCTATTCATTTCGCACACTTTTATTTTTCTTCTTTTCCATCCTTTATTGTATAGATTGTTAAAAAGAATGTTGTAGTTTTATACTGTCTAGATAATTGCAAAAAAAATGCAAAACAAATAGAAAAGAAAGATCACTTTTGATAGAAGATTGCAAAGTTTTCATTAATTTTTGTGAATTTAATGTTGGTGAGGAGTCACATATTTTCTCTTTAAGTGACAGTCATGTATATATTTTTCTAAAAATGAAAATAATTCACCATAATGATTGTCAATCATTAATATTAATGATAGCTATTCCTAGTAGCGTAAGACTTTGGAAATTTATTTATTTCATTCATTTAGCAAATATATATATATGTATATATACATGTGTATATACATTTGTATGCATATATGTGTACACACACACACACACACACACACACACACTTTGAGCAGCCACATTGTGCTAGGCAGTGCTCTAGATGATAGCACACTAAGCTAGGCAGTATTCTAGATGTAGGTGATACATAGGACATTAAATCATGATTTTGCCTCTCTAAGGCTCACTGACCAGTGAGGAGGAGACGTGGAATAAGTGCAGTACACAGGACTATCTATATAGATATAGACATGCAAATCACTGAGCTGGGAACATCAAGGATGCGGTGGCTTATCTGCCTGGTGGCAAGGGGTGAGGGAAGAGGATGTGAGAGAGGAGGATTGAAGAGTCCTGTAAGATCATAAGACCCTAAATAGGTTGAATGTTTGTTTTCCTTTAAAAAAAAAAAAAAGTGTCTTCTTGGAACTTGCATTTTATTTTAATATGCTAAATGTTACCAAATTTGAAATTTGGGACTTTTTGTAAGAGTCCTGTATAAGAATCACGTGGGTTTTGTTGATTTCTCCAGGCTATTTGTTTTTTAAATTGTGCAGAGTGAAAGTGCAGAGCTAGTCATTTTTACGTGGATGTCATCTATTTTGTATTTGATGGTTGGATACAGCTGGATGGTAATCGGCAAATGTATTTTTGGGTAGCGGCTTCCGTATATTTCATTCACTCAGCATTGTTTTGGAAAAAAGAATCAGCCAGTTTTACCTAACTTTGGAACTGGTGGGGAAATCTAGTCAGAGAAAAAGGTGAAATAACTTTCTCAAGGTCACACTGTGATTCATTCAGAGGCAGATCCAGAAATAGAAACTGAGTCAATGATTCAAGTCCAATGTCTGTATCATTTCTGTTTGATTATTCAATGTTTTAAGGCCATATGGACAGTAAAAACTGTTTACAAAAAATGTTAAGGATTCAGGGCCTTTATTTAATTAGATTTTCCAGTTTCTGTTTTTAATAAGGTATGCTCTTTTAATGGTTGAACATCTGGCCTTCCTTGAGCTGGATGAAAGGTGATTGTTGGCCAGAGTGAACCAGATTTTCTCTAAGCAGCTCTCATGGAAATTGTGCTTATGGTGGTAGAATGAATCCAGATGGACACAGGTCCTTGTTTCTTAGCTGTCAACTCTTCATGTCATCTGGCACTGCGTTTGCTTCTTTACTTTCCTTCCCTATTTTTTGTAGGTGTCTTGGAAATTACCAGAGGCTTAGGGGAACACTAGCCTTGTCCTTAGGGAAATTTCTCTTTGGCCTTAATTTTGCATATATTTGGATCAATTAATTGCCAGCTGCCTTTGAAGCAGGTGATTATTATATCTATAAGCTTCCATAAGGATCTTTTATTTTTAAACCATAGAATGAGGGTTGTCAGTGTTGCAGGAAGGAACAGATGTTTTTCGATTTTTACTGCCTTTCAAATGTAGAGAGAAAATACGAGTAAAAGGGATTTCTATGGCACATGTTTGCGTCTCGTTGGTAGATCTAACAACATTTAGCCATGAGGGAGACCAAAACATCTTGTTTTAGCTATCAAGAAACTGATGATGTCTTAGGCCATTGCATTTAAGTATTTTGTAATTAATTTGTTTGAAATACATCTTTTTCAGTGTTTAGTAGAAAAAATGGCACCTGAAATTTGGGAGGCTCCTTTACATACTAAGTGTAACAGAAGCTTGGTACTAGAGTTTTGCAGTTAATTAAAGTTCAGATATCTAACGAGTTAAATTTGTGATGCTAAATCGATTTTGATAGGAATCTTTCCCAAGTCAATTATGTGCTAATCTTTTTTTAAACACATGGAATAAAAGTTTAATCTGTTTAAAGGGCTTAATGTCATCTTCAGGCACATCATTTTTGCATTTTATGAAAACATTAAAGATGTCCTCAACAGCTATTGAAGTGTGTGGGCTTTTGGCTTCAGTCTGTAATTTCTGAGTTTTTGTGTCTGTGTAGTTTCTTGATTGTTTCCTTGCTGTCAGCTATTTATTGCTAGAGCTGCCTTTAGTCTGCTTCTGTCCCTCAATGTTTTTGTAATTTGACTTTTCTGATCAATTTGGGATTGACTTACAATGCCTGTAATTATAATATCAGCTATACTTAATTGTACTTCTAAGTGCCAGACTAAACGCCAGACTCTGTGGTGGTGCATTACGTAACTATATGTATTCCTTACAACAGTCTTGAAATGTAGCTGTTTATTCTTATTTTTCCAGTGAGAAAACCCAGGCTCAGAGAGTAAAGTAGCTTCTTGCCTCAGGGCATTAAGCTAGTTAGTGGGCGGCCCATCCAGGATACATCCTTAGAAAACCAAATCTGTTGTTAATATGTATAAGATGAAACCAAGTAGATCAGGGAGCTTTTGAAAGACTAGCTAATTAATGCAGCACATAGGCTCTAGAACTTGGATTGTGCAACTCTGATTTTGGCCTTTCTAAAAGTTAGCTTGATTTTTTTTTTTTTTTTTTTTTGAGATGGAATTTTGCTCTTGTCGTTGAGGCTGAAGTGGTGTGACCTCCGCCCCTGGGTTCCAGCAATTCTCCTGCCTCAGCCTCCCAAGTAGCTGGGATTATAGGGGCCCATGACCACACTTGGCTGATTTCTGTATTTTTAGTAGAGACAGCGTTTTTCCATGTTGGCCAGGCTGGTCTTGAACTCCTTACCTCAGGTGAGCCACCCGCCTCAGCCTCCCAAAGTGCTATGATCACAGGTGTGAGCCACCACGCCTGGCCTATCTTGATTTTTATATCAATAGCGAGAAGGATCCACTCTAAGAGTATATATTTTCTAATATGGCTTGGTAAATTGTTACATTGGATGTTTTAAGGCCAGGAGTAGTCTGATTTCCAGCAAGAGCCCCTGACAGAGTATAGATGTTCAGTTAACGTCTGACAAATGAATGAAGGTCAGAATCATCCCTGATATGTATACAATGTCTTATTATACAAGGAAAGAGGTTTATATGAATGCTATGCTTTCTCTTAAATACTGCCTTACTGGGTTCCATATATCAGAAAATAATTTGGTAACGTAAGTTGGGACTGGAACACTGATATTCAGTCATTTT